TAGTTACGTAAGTTAGTTTAGTTTGGTTAGGTAAGGAAGAAGACGAAACTAACCACGAACTACAACTAATAACTAAGGAGTAGTAGTAAACAAATAGTGTGTATATATATATATATATATATATATATATATATACACATTTTGGAGGTTCTAGAGGTTATACAAATGCAATATTCAAATTTTATGACAGACAAAAGAATTTTATTCATCACATGAACATCACCTTGCACTCTGACCTGTCAGGGTCTGAGTAAGACTGGCATTGTCATTTCATAGATATATCTTGAGTACAAATATTTTTGTACAAAATACAAGTTTTGGTGTACAATAGACTCATAAATTTTACTAAAAACTTGTCACATTTAATCAATATGCCTTCTCCAATATGGAGTTGGTTCAATGAACTGACCTCATGCACATTCAGTTAAAAGAACATACACAAGAAACAATGCCATTTCAGTTGTACTTACAATTCCACATTGAATATGAATACTTAAGTCATATAAGTTGTAATAACATATTAAATATCCTGACATGCAGAAATATATACATGTACCTATATGTGTGTCCTGTAAATACTAACTGCTTTGAATGTCACAGAATTTGAAATACCCTTTTCAAAAATACTTGCTGCTTTACACTTGCTCCTTTCAACATGCCTGTAGAATCTCACTGGGTTCACATCAACATAATACATCTTAAAATACAGCAAAATTTTAGTAAATACTTTAAAATGGACAAGCCAATAGACAAAGCATTAATAAATGCAAGTAATTATATTTACTTTATACTTGTTAGTGTTTTACTTCCTATTCCTAAGTTTTAAGAATATAAATCAAGTCCTTCCAAATACTATTTTTTATAATAATAGTATTGTACTTATAAGAGGTTCTGATCAAAAAGGTAAAAGTTACAGAGTGTGTGAAGTGTACTTCAAAAATCAAACATTTTTTCAACCAGGCTGTTGATGGGAAAAGAAATACTTCATACAAATATATTAGAAAGAATTCACTTTTTGACAGCAACTAAATTACTTGTGTAGAAAGATCTACTGGGTTTTCTAGCAAGCTACTAATAGAATTTAGTGGTTTATAAGCTTTTCATAATATAAAAGGACCTCCAAGATATTTTTAATGATTGTATATTCATTCTCAAGTTACACCAAAGACAAACTATAGTTGTCTCATTGAAGCTATTTTCATTAACCACAACAGTTTGACAGGAAGAAAAAGTTTTTGGACACTTCAGGTCCAAGAAGTGGCTGATTAATACCAGGACTGATGAGACTGCAGCCTTATGGCCCAATAAGCTATGAAGTGTTTGAAAAATAAATAAATTCTATCAATTAGCCCCTAGAAATAAATTATTCCCTAGGCCCCCCAGTAGGCATAATCCAGCCCTGGTCCAAGCTTAAAATATTTGTGGTCAGAAAAACTATGAAATACTTAAAGGTTATCTGACAACTGTCATATGTATAAAGTTACAGAAAAGTGGAAAATAACTTTTTATCAACATATCTAGAGAAATTGAAGCTTATCATTTAAAACCACAAAAACATATAAATCAAAATCTATCTTTATAATCATTTTAAAGAAATTCAAACTTAAAATTTTTCAAATAAAAAAAAGACCATATATAATCATTTATTTCATTCTTTCTTCAGTATATTCAAAAATAAAATCACCTCAAACTCAAATGAAATCATATGCTTGCCAAACACAAGCAAATTTTTATTCAAGTTATGTAGCATAACAACTTTATACATACCTTGAAAAAACAACACAAAGACATGGTTTAGAATGTTACTCTCGAGTTAAGTTTGACCTTGGACTAGATTTAGAGTATTTTATTAAAAAACGTTACATGCATGTTTATCAACCAGATAAGGTAGCAGTTAAATATTTTGTCAACTCACACATACATTATAAAATTGAAAAACATAATATACAGAACATGGAGTACAACCTCAGGGTAATATCCAACAATGTGTTTGGTCAGGTTAATAAACACAGATCTCAATGCAAGTACAAGGTTATAGTTATGTGTTATGCTAGAAGACAGTAAAAATATGTACATAAAATTTATACGGAAACCCACCAATCAAAGCTATCTTTTCGAGTTGCCTAGTGAACTTTTGAAAATGTATTTGTTTATTTTCAGCACCTGGCTATCAGAGTACTGAAGTAAAAGATAAAATATACTCTATCAATACAGTAAAACTGTTTGCACTCATTTACCTCCTCACACTCATATGACTGCAATAAAAAAGCACCAAAGTTTACACAAGACCTACTAAGTATTTTCCTAACACTTAAACTGATGAAAGTAAATATTGTAACACTTTTATTACACTTCTAACTATGTATATATCATACATTACTATATGCATATACACAAGTTTAAGTCCTTTATTAAAAAGTTGTCCTTTAGCCTCAATTTCAAACTACCTCTAAATAGAGAATAAAGAAAAAATTATTTGGCACTGGACCAAGCACCCTATAAACACCTGTACCAATTATTTTTACATACCAAGGACAAAATGCAAATAGGCTATTTAGCTGAATCACTGATGATACTTTTAAACATTTAAGAAATAAAAGTGATACAGTTACAATTAAAATATTTGCTAATCCATTGCTTCACTGAATGCTGCATTATGTCTTTTGTCCACTTTGTTTAACTATTTAATCTAATACAAAAACAATTCTACATAATGGTCAACAGTCATTATAAAAACATATTTAGTTAAAAACAGTATTCACATACCATTATTACAAAACTTACTTATATAAGGTTGAATCCCAGATTTAGAATAGTCCCCAAATGCCTCAAAACAACCTCTAACAAAAGCTTCAACAGTTCCTAAAAAGTCTTACCTTTCAGCTATCCTAGGTATATCTCAGATAAAGCAAATTGTTCTTTCAACCTTCAAATCATCATAGATGAATAGGAAACACTTCCACATGTCCTACCCTAAAATATTTTATACAATTTAAAAACAAAACATGAAAATAACCCAAATGAGTATTATTTGATTGAACATTCTGTATTGATAATAAAAATACTGTGTTGTCAGATAAAGTGTAAAGTGTCAGTAAAGGAAGTAATCTTTAAGAACATTAGTACAATGATTCTGTCTGTATAATTAATTTGTATGAATAATGTGATATAAATAAACATTTACTTTTCCTAAGCTTTAACAAAATTCTGTAAGTAATTTCTACAAAATGTGTCTAATTTACAATAAAAAACCTGCTTGTAAAACTAACATATTTATTTATAAACTTACCATTATTACTCAATATATTAAATATATATGTACCTAAACACAAAACTAGACCTAATACAACTATAAAAAATCTTCCATTTTAAGATCTAACATAACATCCAGACAACTAAGGATTTGGTCCTTCAAGGTTGTCCTTACATCCCTATCCCCAAAGAAAATAAAAATTTTAAGCGCACATTTCAATTTCAAAAATTCATCAGCTCTCTTCTTAGACTCCTATGAGATCCTTTTATCACTAAAGATGGTAACTCAATCATAGGTTAGTCACCCAACTAGGTAAAATAAAACTGCCTCAACTGTAGTCCAGCTCTTCTTGGATAAATCTTAAAATTGTGCCTCATCATTCTACTGTTTTCAGAGACATCAGATCTTATAAACTTCAATAAGGTTAGTTGTTTTTAAATAGAAAATATCTTCATAAGAATAAAAACTCACTTAACTGATACTGTATTTTTTAAAAAAAGATACACACACACACACACACATATATATATATATATATATATATACACACACACACAC